GGGGAACGAGGAGGAGTGAGGGGCAACGCGCTGCCGACCCTCGACGCAAGGGGTGCACGGCGGTGCAGGCGAGTGGGGAAGCGGGGCGAGTGACTCGGGGAGACCTGAGACCTGACGGTGACGTACCATCCTACTGAAATGCGGGAAGGACGGGTGACCTAGACGGTGGTGCCAGAGGACCGACGGGTGGGTGAGTGGCCGACATTCGCATGACACAGCAGCTACCTGACCTGACCTGACCTGACCTGACCTGACCTGACCTGACCTGACCTGACCCAGTGTGGTGGGACCCAGTGTGTAGTGAGTACAGGCAAGAGCCTGGCTCCCTGCAAAAAGTGGCCAGAGGCGCCCTAGTGGCACCGACTGTGCAGGAGGCAACAGGCTCGTCCAGAGGGAAAGTAATGACTGCACCAAGCTCGTAGAGGTGGCTGACACCCACCAGGTTCCTGGAGAACGAGGGGGTGTAGTAACTTGTAAGGTCCCTACTCGTGCAGCCAGGAAAGGTCCTGCTCGTGAGGGTGAAGGAAAGCTGCGCAGTCACACATGCACCAAGACTGGAAACACAAGTCCCTACTCGTGCAGCCAGGAAAGGTCCTAGACACGGTAGGTGCAACTCAACTGGTCCAACAGTACTCTGACGAAGACGCGAAGGTCAGTGCGGTAGAATCGCTTAGGTCCAAAACGACACGGTGGAGGTCGTCGAGGCGACGGTAGCAGCGGGACGCAAAGTGGTCGGCTTGTAGTGCCAGCACCAGGGTCAGTCACGATTCTGTACCCGCAGGGACCGACGTCTCGCCCACTGCTAGTAGAGCCACTGCTGGGGCCGCCGCACCTTGGACCCTCAGGTCCCCACTACCGGGAGTGCTGCTGCTGTAGAACTCTATTAGACGCCATATGAGGAGCTAGAAACGGGTTACGGGTAACTGGTACAGGTAGCGGGTAGCAGGTACGGGTACGGGCCACGGGGCCTTCTAGCTGGGGGGGGGGGGGGGGGGGGGGGGGGGGCTCGGTTACGGGTACGGTCTAGCACGGTCCGGTGTGGTTGAGCGCGGTTGTGTGCGGTTGGAAGCGGTCCAGTGCGGTACCAGGCGGTCCAGTGGGATCTAGAAAAGTGGGGAGCGGTTCTAGCAGGTCTAGAGTGGTGGAGAGCAGTCAAGAGTGGGCGGGTGGGGCTGGAGTGCAGTTTCTTCGGTGGTAGGTAGCAGGTGGGGCTGGCGGGTACAGGGTGGGGCTGAAGCCAGGGGGTGGGGCGGTGGGTTACAAGTGGGGTAGTGGGTTACGGGTGGGGCGGCTGTATTACAGGTGGGGCGGCGGGTTACGGATGGGGCGGCTGGTGACAGGTGGGGCGGCGGGTTACAGGTGGGGCGGCGGGTTACAGGTGGGGCAATGGGTTACAGGTGGAGCGGCGGGTTACAGGTGGGGCAGCGGGTTACGGGTGGGGCATCTGGTGACAGGTGGGGCGACGCGATCTGACGGGCCCGCGGGGGCCTTACTAGGTCGCGACGTGGGGGGGACCCGCGGGGGTCCCTCTAACTCGTAATCTGACGGGCCCGCGGGGGCCTTACTAGGTCGCGACGTGGGGGGACCCGCGGGGGTCCCTCTGACTCGCGATCTGACGGGCCCGCGGGGGCCTTACTAGGTCGTGACGTGGGGGACCCGCGGGGGTCTCTTCTCGCGCGTGATCTGGCGGGCCAGGGGCCGTTCTACGTCGTGACAGAGGGGGACCCGCGGGGGTCTCTCTCTAGCACGCGATTCGACGGGGGGGGAGCGGGGCGCTAAGAGGTGACGGGGCACTACGGGCAACGGGGTACTAACGGGTGAGCGCGGGGCGGTGGGCCCATGGGAATCGAACGGCTCTATACCATGTTAACGCGGTAACGGAATAATGAATGACTAGAAATGAGAAGTACAAGCATACATATACCAAACTCTAACGGTGCTAGCAGAAACATGTAACACCAATTCTAACACATATGAAACTATAGCAATTATAGTTTGACAAGAGAGTCGGCTCCACCACGCCAACCATCGAGCACGACGCCTCCCCGTCGCCTCGACCCTTGCCGTTGGAGGAGTCGAGGTCCTTCGTCGACGACGTCTTCTTTGATGCCTGCTTCTCCTTGCGCGACTTCTCATCCCGACCTCGACAACCATCGGTCGACCTCTTGCGACCTCCCCTGCGGTCGTCGTCGTCGGAGTCGTCGCGGTCGGGACACTCCAACGAGAGATGGTCGGGGTCGCCACAGACCCAGGACTCTCGACTTCGACCACCGCCGCTTCGAGCGCTGTCCCGAGCCGACTTCGACCGGTCGACGTCCTCCGTCGACCTCCCACCTCCGCTACCACCTCCGCCCGGCTTCCCTCGCTGCCCCTGCTGACGACTCTGCTTCGTCGAGGCGACGTAGCTCACCTGCAGAAGGAGCTCTGTGGGCCGTTCAGCTTCCTGCATCACCTCATCCTTGATGATGTGGCTGGTGAGGGTGTCCTCATCGAGCGACTCACGCATGCCGGGCATCACAAACATCTGGTGCATCAGATTGTAGCCGCTTGGAAGGCCCTTGACGACGTGCGTGATGTACGACGCCGTCGAGTAGTCGACGCCGGCCATCTGCATGTCGGCTAGTATCCGTCGAGCTCGGTTGCAGTAGTCCGTCGACGTCTCCTGCTCGCCCATCCTGAGGTGGGTTAGCTGCTCCTAGAACTGGCCGATGTCGTCCGTCGCCTGGTAGGTCGACAAGATGAACCGCCACGTTTGGTGGCCTGCGTCTAGTCGAAGTCGACACGGCTTCAGCGCAATCTGCACCATCGGCGAGCAGCACCTCGAGATGACCATGAAGGTCAGCAGGTGAGCCGCGTGGAATTCCGCCCGCAGCTCGACGTCATCCTCGTCTGGCGTCGGCACGTCGCCGTCGGCGAAACCCTTCGGCCCGGCGATCCCCAGCTGAGGCTCGATAGACTACTTCCACGTGATGAGGTACGGTAAGCCTTCCAGCGGCGCAGGCACGGCGATCTTGTCCGGCGAAAACTTAAAGTAGCCGTATGCCGGCGCGATCCCGCCCGCCGTCACATGGGTCATCGACGTGGGCCTCCCACTGCTTCTCTGGGGGGAGCGACACTGTCCATCGACGTCGACACGTGAGCTTTCTACGGCCGCCGTCGACCGCTGCACTCGCGCCTGGTTCCCGCCGACGCCATTGTCGGCGACCTTGATCACTCCTCTAACCCTCGTACACACGTCAATGCCGACTTGGTCACCGCCGTCGACCTCCACGTCGAAGCTGCCTTCGTTAAGTGCCGGTCGAGGAGAGGTAGGTCGGGAGGGGTGTTCCGTCACCCACTGCGCACGGATGCACAGGAGCAGCACCTCCAAGGGTAGAACCGTCCCAAACTCGCGACTTGCTTGGCGTCTCCTTGCATCAGCTAACAGTGCCTCCAACGTATCCTCTACACCGTCGGCTTCACTGGGGTTAGGCGTCATGGTCTGCACGGGCTACAGGCCTACGAACGACTTAGGTAAGTGAGCAATCGGCTAATAATCTGAAGGTCGCGTGTTCGATCCACGCTCACTGCACCATGCGGAGAACCACTCTACAACGGTGGGAGCTAGACTACGGGGTTGGCACGGGTTGTGAATGTGATCGTAGCTTTGACTGCGTTCTCTAGCACTTCCACATTCACACCAAGAATTGGCAAGGGTTTCACTAGCAAAGTTGGTATTACAGAAAATGATCACAAAAGCAATGGCAAGAATGACTACATCAGAGCCTAGCAACCTAGCAGACAGGCAGGTCGACCGCCAGCACAGCAAGGTCGACAATCTGCCAGCTTTGCGTAGAGGCACCGCGATAGTACTGCAGAAGGGCGACCTACCAATAGAGCAGGTCGACAAAGTGGCTTGCCAACGCTGCAGCAGAGCGGTCTGCCAGCGTTGCATCTGCAGGTGATAGTAGCGTAGGGGCGCGGCGACGGTCGAGCACGTTGTGCACCGTCGCGCAGTTGCCGGCCACGTGCCGAAGATAGCGCCTGAAGAGCCACGTCGACCTCGGGATACCAGCCTCGACGACGCTCGCGTGCCTCCGCAGAGCCTCGTCGAGCAGGTTACTTGGTCGACCGGGTACCACCACCCGGCGTTCTGGTCGACGACCTCCCTTGTCGACCCCCATTTCTGTCGAAGGCCACCCTGGTCGACGGACCCCTCCGTCGACCAGCACGGTCAGCTGCTGCTATCGAACTCCCTTCGTCAACGACCGCTCGACACACCCCCGCGGGTCGACGACCACCTTCGTCGACCTCCTTGTAGAAGCGAGCCGCCGGCTTCCCTCGACGGCGGCATCGCTGTGGTCACGCACAGGTCGACTACCTCGTCGACATGCACGCCTAGGGTGGCATCATCCTCTGTAGAACTGTCGGCCGCACCTCCCGCGCACCCGACGAAAGTCGGCTTCGCCGAAGCGAGGGCGGGGCCAACACTCAATTTCCGTCAACACATGAGCACAAGACTACCCCTGTGGAAACGAAATCATTAGGATGCTGGGCACAAAACCAAAGGGAAGGCGTTGGCCATGGCCGTCAAGCTTGGATGAATTCCTGCTGCAAGGGGAAGGGGTCGACTAGATCCGAGGTGAGGAGGGGTGAGGCGAGGTGAGCGGAGGTGCAGCGAGGTGAGGAGGTATGCGAAGTGGTGACGGTGTGTTGGGATCGGCTCAAAACAAACTGAAGCCGACTCTCACAGGGCATATCGAGCAGATCCGAGGTGAGGAGATACAGGAGAAGAGGAAAGGGGAAATGGCAAATGAGCTTTTGTATAGCTGCCATGTCAAGAGCTGGTCCCGTGTTGGCATTCCAAACCTCACCACTCTCATTCATTCCGGTTCTTCCTGGCCGGTTTTCCCCTCCCTCCTCTCCTACATCAGGCCGGCGGTAAGTCTCCGACTCACAAGCAACTTCCTGCAAAGTTCTTAACTGCTCTCCCACGTCACCCTGCCTGCGCCCCCACCATCATGCGTGGCAGTGAATCCCAAGTAGTACCCCCACATGTTCTCACTCGCTCTCCCTGCTCCCATTCTCCCTCATCCATGAGGCCTGGCAGTGAGCTCCATTCCCCCCTGCATGTTCTCACCCTACATGTTGCCCCCACCGCCTCTTCCCCCTCACCAGGCTTGGCAGTGAGCCCCAAGTACAACTAGATGTTCTCAGTGGGTGACGACAAGTTGGTCAAGTGCTGGATCCTTGAATACAACAAGGTGTGTCGCGCGCTGCTGCTGCCGTCGCCGTCGACGCCTGCCTGCACACATGCTGTTTTGAGACGTCTCATATCGAGATTTGAGATGCCTCAATACACGTCTACTATGCCTGACCTGCACATTGGCTGTGCCATGATGATATCTGCACTCACCCTTGCTTGTATCTTGAACGTTCTTGTTCCACTGCCTCTCTGCTGTCTTCTGTCTCACCTTGCCTGGGACACCTCTCTCAATGGTATGCTTCAGAGTGTGCCATTGTATGCCATCCCTTCCTCCATCCATGTTCTTGCTTGCTCTGCCACGTGGCGGCAGGTGATTCGCTCGTACCACGGGCATCTGAGTGGAATGTACTGCCTCTCACTGCACCCCATGCTGGACGTGCTTCTCACCGGGGGCAGAGACTCCGTATGCCGGGTCAGTACGTTGCAATGCGGTGCACTGCGGTGGGATGGTATTGTGCTTTATAGTGGTTGGAGTGGTTTGTGGTGGTAGAAAGAGTCACCCACTTATTTCAACACCATAATGTGCACCCCTTTTGATCAAACCACGTTCACCAGTTCCTTTGGTATGCCATCCTATACGCCTGCTGTGCCGTGCCATGCCGCTCAGTGCCATGTCTTTTGTGTTTTGTCTGCTGTATGCCTTGCAATCCCATACTGCATGCATGCCCATCTCTACCCTGCATGCACGCATGTGCCTCACCCCATCCCACCCCACCGCTTTGTTCTGTGCGTGCATGGGAGGTGTGGGACGTGTGCACTTTGTCCATCCTGCATGCATGCTTGTGTTTACATTTGTCTATATGCACACCTGTACACCACCCCATCCCACCGCTCTGTTCTGCGCATGCCATACCAGGTGTGGGACCAAGGGCACAGATTATTGCTCTCAGCGGCCACGACAACACCGTCTGCTCTGTCATTGCCCAGACCATTGTGAGTTGAGTTACATGCCATGCTGTGCTGTTCCACACCCTGTATGCATGGCATGGCGTCTTGACAATACTGTCTGCTCCGTCATCGCCCAGACCACTATCAGTCCAATGCCCCGCCGTGTCGTGCTGTTCCGTGCCCAAGAAATGCCATGCCATGCCTACTATGCATGGCATGGCATCACGACAACACCGTCTTCTATGTTATTTCTCCGGCTACCCTGCTCTGCCATGCCCTGCCATGCCCTGCCCTTCTTTGCCACGCTCTTCCGTGCATTGCCACGCTTTGCCATGTGTGCCCCACATGGCACCAGGCAAGGCCATGTCAACCCTCACCTACCACAAGAAGCTGGTCCGAGCCCTTGCCAAGCTCTCCTTTGAGTGGGCCCTCCCTCTCCCCACCTCACTATGTATGTCAATGTCCATCGTGCGCTACGGCCCTCCGTATGCCCACCCTGCAACTTGTTCTGCCATGTGTGTCTGGTCCTACCGCATTCATTATTCAACTCCTCACATAATTCCCTCTACTTGTTACCATGCTCCTGCACCCGTTGATTCTCCTGCACCTACTTCTACCCTCCCATCCCCTCCTCTCCCTTCCTTTTCCCTCCTTCCCTCCCCTCCCTCCCCTCCCCTCCTCTCCCCTCCCTCCTCCCCTCCCCTCCCCCTCCCCTCCCCTCCCCTCCCCTCCCCTCCCCTCCCCTCCCCTCCCCTCCCCTCCCCTCCCCTCCCCCCCCTTCCCTCCCCTCCCCTCTCCTCCCCTCCCCTCCCCTCCCCTCCCCTCCCCTCCCCTCCCCTCCCCTCCCCTCCCCTCCCCTCCCCTCCCCTCCCCTCCCCTCCCCTCCCCTCCCTCCCCCTCCCCTCCCCTCCCCTCCCCTCCCCTCCCCTCCCCTCCCCTCCCCTCCCCTCCCCTCCCCTCCCCTCCCCTCCCTCCCCCTCCCCTCCCATCGCTCGCACCCACCCAACCATGGCTGCATGCACTATGCATGCCCAACCGCCCATCATTGGTTGTCAGGAAGACGTTTGTGTCGGCACCACATGCCGACACATCAAAATTTTCAAACTGCCCAAGGGGGAGTTCCTGCACAACATGCCCTCCCTCCCTCTCCCTCCTTTTGATTTTTGTTTTTGTGTGTGTTTGTATTTATCTCGTTTTATTCTGTGATTTTGTACGAACTGCCCAGAGGCGAGTCCCTAAAGGTGATTTGTGAGTGAAGGGCCAGTTGCTCCAGGTATACGAAGTCATTGTTGTCTTTTACAGATATGCATTCGTTCTTGTAGCATTCAAGCAAGGACAGCTCTGTCAATTATAGACCACACGTGGCTACCCTCTTACCGCCACTGCGTATCCTTCGTCAAATGAAAGCCAGGTTTCCATCCACGTGAAGAGTGCCTACTTGCATTGCTGAATACCCTCCATCCATCCTGCCCTGCTTCTACCCCGCCCCGCACCCCTCTACATTGCTCTCCACCGCAGCCCACAGCAGCGCTCCATCATCAACACCGCAGATGTGAACGAGGACAACGTGCTCGCCTCAGAAGGCCCTCTGCCCCTCTCCCCTGCCCCTCTCCCCTGCCCTTCTCTCCTCTGCTCCTCTCTCCCCTGCCCCTCTCCCCTGCCCTTCTCTCCTCTGCTCCTCTCTCCCCTGCCCCTCTCTCCCCTGCCCTTCTCTCCTCTGCTCCTCTCTCCCCTGCCCCTCTCTCTCCCGCCCCTCTCTCCTCTGCTCCTCTCTCCTCTACTCCTCTCCCCTCTGCCCCTCTTCCCTGCTCATCTCCACTGCCCCTCTCCCCTGCCCCCCTCCCCTGCCTCTCTTCCTTGCCCCTCTCCCTACTCCTCTCCCCTTGCCCTCTCCTCTACCCCTCGCTCCCCTACCCCTCCCTCCTCTGCTCTTATCTCCCCTGCTCCTCTCCTGCTTCTTTTTCCTCTGCTCCTCTCTCCCCTGCTCCTCTCTCCTCTGCTCCTCTCTCCTCTGCTCCTCTCTCCTCTGATCCTCTCCCCTCTGCTCTTCTCTCCTCTGCTCCTCTCTCCTCTGCTCCTCTCTCCCCTGCTCCTGTCTCCCCTGCTCCTCTCTCTTCTGCTTCTTTCTCTCCTCTGATCCTTTCTCCCCTGCTCCTCTCTCCTCTGCTCCTCTCTCCTCTGCTCCTCTCTCCTCTGCTCCTCTCTCCTCTGCTCCTCTCTCCCCTGCTCCTCTCTCCTCTGCTCCTCTCTCCTCTGCCCCTCTTCTCTTCTGCTCCTCTTCTCCTCTCTCCTCTGCTCCCCTGTTCTTCTCCCCTGCTCCTCTGCCCCTCTCTCCTTCACTGTTTTCCCCTTCGCCATCCCTAATTGACACCCCTTTCAGGCTCTCGTACTCTCGCTATCCACTTCCTCCTTTGTCCCCTTGCACCATCCTTTCCACACAAAAATGCCCTGAATCTGCCTGATCTGAATCCCACCATCTCACTCATTCATTGACTTCTCTCTGATGTTTCCGTGTGGTGTCCATCTGCATGCCCCCTTCTCTGCACAGGTGACAACGGGTCCATCTGGTTCTGGGACTGGAAGGGCGTCCACAACTTCCAGCCGACTCAAACCATCGTGCAGCCCGGTGCGTCTCTCTACCCTCAGTCCTCCCTGCCATGTGTATTCTGTGCGATGATCGATTGGACTCTCATCGTCTTCCACCCTGGCTTTTCTATCTCGATACAGTCCCTTCCCCTACTCCCCAGTGCCCTTTTCTGTCGATGTTGCTCTCACAGCTCTGCAGTCTCTGTCTCAAATGGCTGCATCTATCCCGACCCTCGTCCCCTCCGCGTATCTGCATGCTACGCCACCCACCCAAGCATCCTTCACACATGAATATGCGCTCTGCCACTTCAACCAATCACTTCCGTCTTTTTTACTCCTCCCTACCCTATATCTGTTTCTCCTGTTCACCTTCCCCAAGGTCGCTTGACAGTGAGGCGGGCATCTATTCGATGGGCTTTGACGTGACAGGCAAGCGCCTGGTGACGTGTGAAGCGGACAAAACCATCAATATTTGGAAGGAGGACGAAAACGCCACGCCCGAGAGACACCCCATCAATTTCCGGCCACCCAAAGACATGCGGCGCTTTTGAAACAAATGGTTCATGCACACTGTGGTTCAGAAAGGCTTTTGTGAAATGTTTTCTAACCATGGAGTTTATACAGGATGCGATTACCTCATATGTGAAGTGAATGTAGTGTTGTTTTGACTGTCCACAATTATAACCAAAATGCTGGGCTGTCTATGGATTCCTTGCTGTTGGCCTTTGCGCTTGGGGGGATGCGTTCCTGCAATGGTTCCCATTTCTGTGCAGGCAGAGCAGCTGCAACACAAACGTGGATCGGGTGAGTTTGCATTGCATCTGTTCGCTTAACTAGCAAGTATTGAAACGGTCATACCAAATTGTACTACTGACATGTTTCCACTGAATGTTCATACGCTTACGCTGCTAATATCGGACCCTGCTTGGAATCAGCAGAGATATTTTGGGATTTGTGTGAAGATACGGTGTGCCAATGTGAAGTGTGTTGTGTGTGCATTCTCCGTGGAGCTGGGTAAAACTCCTGAAATAATGTGGAGTTCGTGGGCTTGGGAGAGGTTTCATGTCAACCGCTTACGAAGGTTTACCAAACAGTGTTACGAGAAGCGGGTGTCTGTCAACCGTGACTGTGATTGCAGCCATCTCAGAGCACTCTAAGAGAGAAGTATTGAAGTGTCGTACTGTACTCTGAAAACTTGGAGGGATGTTCGAAAACTATACCTAAAGCTGCTGTGGTGTGGAGTCAAGAAGCTCTGGATTGGGCGTGTGTCATGGCGTCAGCAAGCTGTATTTGTTTGCTGACGTGCTGAATTTAGCCCCCGGGAGCCAATAGAACCACGTCAGTAATGTCCAGCTCAGCCTGTCACATCACTTCCAACCCGTCTTTTTCCCTCCCTCCAACCAGGAGGAAACTTGCCCCGCTTACAGCGTGCTCTGATACGCCGGGTCGCATTCTCCACGTGGGAATCAAAATTCTTCATTGCGCTGCGCTGCAATTGGGTGCAATCTGCTCCACCCTGCAACAGATGCATAGGATGAAAATGGGTGGTGCTGGAATAAGGTGCTTCACGGCACTACACCCTGAATTACGAAGGCATGTGTTAGAAATTCTTTGGTCCGTCCGTTAATCGAGGAGGGGAGAAGATATTGGAAGGACTGACGTTACATATGTTTGATTTTTACCTCTACACTAAAAACTCAAAGTTTCATATAAGTACTTGATCCTTCTGATTCCGGGTATGCTACACTTTTTACCAGTATTTCGGGTATGCAGACTAAAACCCCCACAATCTGGACTAACCGCATCAGTGCCCGTAAAAGGAATGCACCGTTGAAACCTCCCTCCCCGCCCCACCCCCTTCAATTCGTCTCCTGCTGGTTTTGCTTCTCCTTTCCCAAAACACAACACAAATGTGGGACACAAGAACATTCCATTTCCATTCACATCGCATCCCCGATAACACTAGTAGTCAGAGATCACACACAAGCGCCGGGAGAACCTTCCCAAGGGCCAAGCCTACGAACGATACGAGACGCTGCAGCAGACAGTGCCTTTATCGGAATCCTTTTATCTGTAATGGCGGGTGCGCAGCTACGCGAGACAGCGGCTAACCCACGAGGGACAGTCGCCGACGCTGTATCCGCTTTGCGGCACAAGATGATGAATCGCGACCAGGTCAAAGCCGGCTCCCTTAACCGCCTTCCGCGTGTAACATTCCCGTCGCATGACGACCGAATGACGACGATCTGGGCGATCGAGAAAGCCATCGAGCGACAAATGCACGACATGCACAAGTGAGCCTTCTCTCTCACACCCCTCGCATGCTACCGTACGCGTGCATTCCAAGAAGAGCCCTCTCGAACCGCGCCATGCACTGTGCTCGCAACGGCTCGTTTCTTTCACTTCCGCCGTCTCCTCCTCGTCTCTGCCGCCGTCTCTCCGTGTCTTCTCATTTCCCGCCGTATATCCTTGCGCGGCGCGCCTAATCAACTCTTCCTCTTTCCAACCCGTGGTTGAACCACACGCACCACTCATGATCGTTGTATCCTCCTAGTTATGGAAAGGCTTAGCATTTATTTCTTATTCTCAGTCCCCGTTCCCACGTCCATCTCCCCGCGTCCCCACCTTGCCGCGTCCTCACCTCCCCGCGTCCCCACGTCACAACCACCCTCCGCGGTCCCCGCGCCCCCGATTCCCCACCTCCCCGCGACCCCACCCCACCTACCCGCCTCCCCCTATTCCAACCGGCGGTGTTCGCGCAGGAGCCTTGCGCCGGAGCCGAGCCAGCATTGCGCCACGCACGCCGCGTTGAACCAATCATCGCTCGCCGCGATCACAGCGCCGCGTCCTGACGATGTCGCATCATCGCATGCGACCATTCTCGATCCTCCTCGTCCATTCGCTGCCAGTTTTATTTCGCCAATGGTGGGCGATTCGCGAAACGGTGCTGGAAACGCCGCCGCCGTCTTCGCTGGCGGCCGAGAAATCGCGTCATACGGAATAGATTATCTTGGCAGCAGCGGCGACGGCACGACCACGGATCGGAGTGGTGGCGGCGGCGGCGGCAGCAGCGGCGGCGGCAACGGCGGCGGCAGCGGCAGCAGCGGCGGCAGCGACGGCTACTACCGGGACGTCGGGTACGCGACGCGCGTCGAAAACAACAGCGACGTTCAGCCGCGCTTTGAGGAGAGCGCCGCCGCGACGCGCGGCGGGGAAGCCGCCGGCCGTCGCGCTGACTGCGTCGAGCGCTGCGATCACGAGCAGAACGGCTTCTGGCAGCCGTCCGTCGCCTCAGCGAAGCGAAAGCGGCCATACTGCTGCGAAGACGACGACAACGACGACTCGCCGGAGGGACCGGAGTCACTCCTTTCCTTCGGAAGGACGACTCTTGAGGCAGCATCGGCGAGCGGCCTTACTTGTACGCGCGGCGATGTGCCTCAAGCGTCATTCTACTATGAGTCGTTGGCGGGCCTGTCGGACCCAAGTTGCCGCGATCATCGCGCGACGACGTGCCTCACCGGCGATTGGTCGACGAGCAGACGGCCGCCGGTGGACTTGACGGAGTCCGGCAATGCCACGGCGGCAGAAGAACTTGGTGGCGGTCAGCAGGATCGTCAGTCTTTCGGTGATCCGCACAACCAGAATCATCCGCGAAACCAGCTTCATCCCCTAAACCTACCTCAGCAAGGCCCCGGCGGGCTCTCCGCGTATCCGCATGCGCATTCGGTGGCAGAGGGGGCATGCGCGAGTGCGCCTGGCGCCGCTGAACGCGCAAGCGCCGGCGGGACTGCGAGAGAACCCGCCGCTGCAGGGGATACCGGCGGAACGGGCGGATGGAGGGGCGGCAGCGCAGAGGGGAACAGGATAGTGGTGGGCGCGCCGGCGCTACTGGCGAGCGCAACGACTGGCGGAGACCGCCTGGGCGGAGTGATGCGTGGCGGAGTGACAGCGCCGCCACATCAAACCGCCCACGCACAGACGCAAGAGTGTGCTGCTGCTGCTGAGACGCCTCACACATCCCAGGAGCAGGAACGAGCGCGGGAACTGCTGCATAGACAATCGCCAGCCGGAGGGACGAGCGGGCAGGCACGCATAGCAGCCGATGCAGCAGGTGGTGCATGCGCAGGCGCAGCCATGTCAACAGGCGCAGCAACAGCAGCAGGTGCGGGTGGTTCGTTAGGTCCGCCCTCCATCCTTCCGCCTTCCATGGTGGCCCTCCCTGCTACTGCCCTGCTGCCACTGCCCTGGCAGCACCTGCTGCCCCACCGCCCCTCCACCCACGTCCTGCTACCGCTGCCCTCTCCTCCCCATCTCCCCGCTTTGCCCCAGCCCTTGCCGCAGTTGCTTACATCACAACCCCGCCTGCTTATATCACAGCCCCAACTATCATCACAGCCTCAGCTGCTTATTGCACAACCCCAGTCCTCATCACATCCCCCACTCCAGTCTCCTCTGCCCTTCCAGTCGTCTCCCCTCGTCCCAGCACCGTGGCCTGCCACCGCACCCCCACCAACACACGGGCTCGGTTTCTCGACCGTTGCCCCCCACCCTCTGCCTGCCAACTCTTCTGCACTCGCCGTCACTGCTGCTGCCGCAGGTGGCGGGCGGCATGGGGTGGGCGGCGGTAAGGGGGAGGGCATGGTGGGTGATGAGGGTTACGATCAAGGGCAAGGGCATGATGGCGATGGTGATGCGACGAATCAGCGCAAGCAGAGGAGGTCAGTGCATCACACGGGTTGGTCCGCCCACTGTGCTGGCCCATTTCCGCCCTTCACCCTCCCACCGTCCCTCTGCCCACAATTGCCTCTCTGTATTATTTCCCTTTGAAACTCCATCACGTTATCATCTGAAAGAGGGTATCGGTGTGTCGGACCCCCTGGACTCTTCCCCTTGTCACTTCTTACCCCTTTGTCCCTCCCCTGTCGTCTTACCCCCTTGCCCTCCCCTGCAGTTCCCTTGTCGCTTCCCCTGTCTGGTTACCCCTGGTCTCCTCTCCTTTTTGTCTCACCCCTTGCCTCTTCCCCGTGGGCAGGATGCACTCCAACCGGCAGTCAGCCAAGCGCAGTCGCCTTCGCCGCCAGCAGCTGCTGGAGAAGCTGGAGATGGATGTGAGCGAATGGGTGGGGAGCGGTGGGATGCAGTGGGGTGTAGTGGGGTGGGGTGAGATGGGATGGGGTTTGATGTGATGGGATGGGAACAGACGGGAGGGGATGCGGGTTGAATGGGTTGTGGGAACGAGAGGTAATTCACTATTTGCTAATGGAGTGCTTGTGCTTCGTTAAAATGTATGCAACCAAGTGCCACATCAGGATGACATGCTGAAAGAACCGTGCATGCATTCCTCTGCATGGCTCGGCATGGGACGGAGCAGGACACTGGCGCGAGGCATGGTATCAGCGCATCCAATCACCATTTTTGTTCCCGTCGTAATCCTCCCCCCAAACCCCCACCCCCTCCTTGTCGTGACACAGGCTGCAAAGCTGAGGGTGGAACACAGTGCGTTGTGTCGGAGGGAGGCGGAAGCGACAGAGAGAGCTGCTGAGCTGCACCGGCAGCAAGTGCGGTTGCAGCAGGAGAGGGACGCAGTATTAGCGAGGATGAAAGAGCGTGGCTCTGGTAGGCAGTTGCAAGAGCAAGGGCTACGGGTCCATTAAGGAAGAGGAGTATAGAGGATATAAACAGTGGAGAAGATGGTCTCTGTTGTCAGTGTTCTTTTAAGGTATGTAATTGATTGTCGTGCAGGATAATACGGTATGCTTCGGTTATTATAAATACAGGTAGTACAATCAGAACTGGGCACACAACTGATAGGTCCAGATCGAGTTTGTCACCACTCTCCGCAAGGATGGTGTTCTCAAGTTGAGCCCACATATAGGCTGCTAGGCCATGGTGCTAAGTCTGTCATTTTATTAATTCTGAAATGGGAGGATGTGTGTTGCAAAACCTATTCATAAGCACTGGCTGAATTTTGCATTTATCTCAGAAAGCGGCGGTTTCAGTATCGGGTTTAGGGTGAAATCTGCAATTTTGCCATACCGTGTCAGTTTCGGTTGTCATGCTTTTCGGAATGTTTTCCAGGTTTCGCTCTGTCCTACAAGGCTGCAGTCAGCGAGTCTCATTTTGTTCAGAGCCTAGGCTATAGGGAGCTAGTTCCTAGATCAAATCCAAACCTTTTCTTGTGCGATCGAGCGGCATTTCGGCCGGAAGCGTGCGTCTCGCCTTCGCCGCGTTCGTATATCGACGCTTCCGCAAAGCCGTTGTGTAGCTCGTGATCGGGGGTCTGTTGGGCATCAATGGCAGAGATGGTGAGCTCCCCCTTCGTTTCGCCCACCCTCTGGTGCCGGAAATGTGCAATGTTCCTTTGTTCTGCCATTGCTCTTTCTCTCTCCTTCTATTGTCGCTGGGTGGATGCCGGTCCTTCAGTGCCGAGATGCTGGTCGTTTAATGTCGGTCGTTCATTGCCGGTCGTTCGTTCTCGGTCGTCCGTTCCTGGCCGTTCGTCGCCGTTCGTTCGTTCCCGGGCCGTTCGTCGCCGTTCGTTCGTTCCCGGGCCGTTCGTCGCCGATCGTTCGTTGTCTGTCGTTCAATGTCGCTCGCGCTTTCTTGCTCATGTCAGCCGTTCCACGCGCTTTCGACGGTCCTCGTCTTCAGACTCGTGGTTTTAGCTAATTACTTGCTGCCATCGGCATGCCGTGTTTCAGGAGGACATCTGGAAGGAAGCATTTCCAGTCGGCACGGAGGTACCCATGCCATCCATCCGTTTCCTGCTTCGCCTCACCTTCGTTTACTTGCTTCTCATCCTTCTTTTTTATTGGCACACCTCATCCACTGCCTTTTGAAGCTTCAACATCAACACTCACTTTCCCAACCCATTCTGCAAGCTTTAGCGCTGCACACCTGTTACGCACGTCTGTGATTCGTCCCTTTTTCGTCCTAATAGCACGTCTTTGATCGTCCTTTATCCCGTTTTCACCAACTCAGAAGCTCAGAAGCTTATGCAGAAATGGGTTTTCTAGGCTAATGGCCCTGATAGAACTCCCATTAATATGGCTACCTACTCTCTCTGCTCGTCTTGCCTTAACCAGTGATTATCCGGCAATTCTTCCTTATGGAATTACACACGCATGACGCAATGGGAAGCATATACGCTTCGACCAACCGCCGTCTTCCAACACATTTTGTCCCCCATGCCTCCCCTATCCCCGCCCACCTCTTTTCCCCGCACTCTCTCTGCCAGTGGGACCAATACGACAAGGTGTACGACATTGAGTGGGACTTCTCAAACCTTGATGTAACCACATTGCACCTCTCATCAGCTTTCTCTCTATCAGCTTTCTCTCGACCAGCTTCCTCTCGATCAGCTTTCTCTCTATCAGCTGTCTCTATATAAGCACAATCTCTCGCTCGCCTCAACCTGTGCCATTTCTTGGCCACAATCCTCAGGGGGAAGGCCGAGGCTCACATTCTCGAGAAGCGAGCCTTCCCACTCACACTCACATGAGCCGTCCCCCATCCATGTATCCTTCTCGTGTCACTTTATCGCATAGTCCTCGTTAAGCCCTTGGGTGCAACCAACGCATGCACAGCACAGCACAGCACATATACCTTGAAAACAAGGGGGCCATGGCTCTCCCTGTCTCCCCCCTCTCTCCATCTTCTTCCTCCCCTTGTCTCCCGCCCTCCCCGTACGACGCTCCTCCGCAACCCAGGCATTCGCTTCAACAAGCGAGCACACGCACTCACATCCTGCTTCCCCCTTTCCCTGTGTCTCCCGCCTTCCCCCTTTCCCTGTGTGTCCCGCCTTCCCCCTTTCCCTGTGTGTCCCGCCTTGCCCCCTTCCCTGTGTGTCCCGCCTTCCCCCTTTCCCTGTGTCTCCCGCCTTCCCCCTTTCCCTGTGTGTCCCGCCTTCCCCCTTTCCCTGTGTCTCCCGCCTTCCCCCTTTCCCTGTGTCTCCCGCCTTCCCCCTTTCCCTGTGTCTCCCGCCTTGCCCATGGGACTCTTCTCGGATGTGTGCAGGAGGCGTTTGATGAGGGCGGCCCGCTGCACGACACGCGCGCACACGCATTCACATGCTCCTTCCCGCTGCCCCTGTCTCTCCTGCCTTGCTCGTGTGACCCTGCTCCGCTGTGTGCAGGAGGCGTTTGATGAGGGGGGGCCGCTGCACGACAAGCGCGTCTACCTCTTTGGATGCACCGAGCGTGAGTTCAAACGCCCCAAGCCCAATGGAACCTGAAACGCTCGTAGCAATATGGTTGAACTTGGTCCCAGATCTGGTAACGTGAAGATGAGATTGCATGAATGGCAGAAATAAAAACACCATTGTTGGACTCCTTGATGCTCTCGATCTCCCTTTCTCCCACGTACACCTCCAATTCGTGTCGTGCTCCGTTCTTTATATCTCTATTCGCGACTTATCAGTCAGCTACACAGCTCTCCATAAACCCTCCGCCCCTGCATGATACCATCCCATTCACCACCCTGCTACCCTGTCCCCACCATCCTGCTACCCTGTCCCCACCATCGTGTGACCCTGTCCTCTCCCGCATTGCAGCGCAGCTGGTGCACTGGAAGGGCAAGGACAAGGTCGTGCACGTGCCAGCTGTCGTCGCGGTACGTGCATGGCTTGAGCTTGACGGTCAGATTTTAAATATGTGCATGGTCAAGGCCCCGCCCCCAGCCCTCCCAACCTCCCTACTACCACGTCTCTCCCTCTTCTGTTCCTCCCTCACCTCCCCACCCCCTTACGTTGCATCGCATTAAGTTATCACTCAAGCCAATTTGAATGAAGACAGGGGGAAGGGTTTTCACCGACCGCTTCTTAATCACACCCCACCTCATTCTACCACTTTTCATCTATCCTAATCACTCCCAACCAGGTGTTATCACCATTCGCCCCGTCGGACAAGCTGGGCATCAAGTCAGACCAGATGGAGACCGAGATGATCGTGCCTAGTGCTTATCAACAGCATCCCACCTCTTGTCACCACTCTCCACCGGCCATCACCACTCCCGCCAGATGTTGTCACCGTTGTCGGACAAGCTGGGCATCAAGTGAGTGCAGATGGAGACAGAGACGATCGTGCCTACCGATTATCAACTGCATCCCATCCCATCCCACCTCTTTTCACCACTCTCCACTGATTCCCACTGCTTCCCACCAGGTGCTGTCACCATTCGCCCCGTCGGACAAGCTGGGCATCAAGTCTGTGCAGATGGAGACCGAGATGATCGTGCCCAGTGCTTATCAACTGCATCCCACCTCTTTTCACCACTCTCCACCGCTCTCCACCAGGTGTTATCGCCATTCGCCCCGTCGGACAAGCTGGGCATCAAGTCAGTGCAGATGGAGACAGAGATGATCGTGCCTAGTGCTTATCAACTGCATCCCACCTCTTTTCACCGCTCTCCACCAGGTGTTATCACCATTCGCCCCATCAGACAAGCTGGGCATCAAGTCAGTGCAGATGGAAACAGAGATGATCGTGCCTAGTGCTTATCAACTGCATCCCACCTCTTTTCACCGCTCTCCACCAGGTGTTATCACCATTCGCCCCATCAGACAAGCTGGGCATCAAGTCAGTGCAGATGGAGACAGAGATGATCGTGCCTAGTGCTTATCAACTGCATCCCACCTCTTTTCACCGCTCTCCACCAGGTGTTATCACCATTCGCCCCATCAGACAAGCTGGGCATCAAGTCGGTGCAGATGGAGACCGAGATGATCGTGCCTAGTGCTTATCAACTGCATCCCACCTCTTTTCACCGCTCTCCACCAGGTGTTATCACCATTCGCCCCATCAGACAAGCTGGGCATCAAGTCAGTGCAGATGGAGACAGAGATGATCGTGCCTAGTGCTTATCAACTGCATCCCACCTCTTTTCACCGCTCTCCACCAGGTGTTATCACCATTCGCCCCATCAGACAAGCTGGGCATCAAGTCGGTGCAGATGGAGACCGAGATGATCGTGCCTAGTGCTTATCAACTGCATCCCACCTCTTTTCACCGCTCTCCACCAGGTGTTATCACCATTCGCCCCATCAGACAAGCTGGGCATCAAGTCAGTGCAGATGGAGACCGAGATGATCGTGCCGATGCGCGAGATGAAGATGGACTGGATCCCCTTCATTCCCGATACCACTGGGTGGGTGTGATCACAGGGAGGGGGGCGATGGGCGAGTGTGGCAAAGCTTGAAGGGAGGAAAGGTTAGGGTCTTGAGGGACAGAGATGATCGTGCCAATGCGAAGATGAAGATGGACTGGATCCCCTACGTTCCTGATGGCGGGTGAGTGTGATACGATTGAATGAAGGGCCATGTAAAGTGGGAAGGGAGGCAGGGATAGGGCCTTGAGAGACAGAGATGGTGCCAGCAGCCACCACCACCATCCTCTCTTTTTCATGTGCTTCTTCTGATCTTAAACCGACCATTGTGCCATCCCATGTGCCATCCCATGTGCCATCCCATGTGCCATCCCATGTGCCATCCCATTGTGCCATCCCATGTGCCATCCCATGTGCCATCCCATGTGCCATCCCATGTGCCATCCCTTGTGTCATCCCTTGTGTCATCCCATGTGTCATCCCATGTGCCATCCCTTGTGTCATCCCTTGTGTGACCTTGTGCAGCCGAGGGTCGGACCTAAGGCGGCACCGGTCGAACATCTTCACTCTCAAGTGCATACAACGCAGGTGAGCTCCCCCCTTCTTACGTGCTTGGGAGATTTATGAGTCATGATATTTATGAGTGATGAAATCTATGAGTGATGTGATGAGTGTTGAGAATGTTTTTTCAGCAGCTTAGATTTAGCTCAACTTGCCAAGTGTGTGTTTATGAGCTAAGTTGCCAAATACGCTCAACCCCTTCAGCGTATAGCGTATGTACGCTAGCGTTTGTACGCTATGCGCTATACGCCCGCGAATACGCTATACGCTTTCAGAAAAGTTTCCGGGCTGCCCAAAAAAAATATCGCGAAATAGTTGCGTAATTTCTAGGTGAGCATTTCGCCGAAGTTGAAATGAAAATCCGTGGTCTAGGCTAGCCGGGATCTGACTTCGAAGTTTTCAGGCACATTTGGCACAAATGTCGATTTTCAGATCTACACATTGATTGAAACCCATCTCATCTACCGCATTGAAACCCATTCCAACCCCAACCCATCTACAAACTCCAACCCTTCAAAATCGACCCCTAGCTGCTAATTCGTCATTTCCCACGAATCATTCCCGCTTCCAACAGCGTTCCTCCCGCCCATTCCTACTTCTCTCTCTGGCTGAAATGTCTACCCCACCTCCCGCCCCACCCGCCGTTCGGACTCCGAAGAATGCTGCTAGGGCACGTCATAGAGAGAATACGGAGTAGTTTTTTCCTCACCCTGCCCGGAAAGTTTTTTCCCTGCCCGAAAAAGCGTATGTCCACATCGACCCCCTACGCGGATAGCGTACATACGCTAGCGTATATACGATACGCGTATATACGCTATAAGCGTATTTGGCAACTTAGTTTATGAGCAGTGCTGTCTCACTGTTTCTTCAATGTGCTATGTGGTGCGTGCTGTGTGCTGTGTGGTGCGTGCTGTGTGCTGCGTGCTGTGTGGTGCGTGCTGTGTGCTGTGTGCTGTGTGCTGTGTGCTGCGTGCTGTGTGCTGCGTGCTGTGTGCTGCAGGGCGGGCTTGAGGCAGATGAAGCACGAGCGGGTGAAGAAGTTCGAGTACTGCTTACCATGTACGTGCCATGATGTGTGCTGCATGATGTGTGCTGCATGATGTGTGCTGCATGATGTGTGCTGCATGATGTGTGCACCATCGTTGCCTTGTTACTGCACGTTTGTTATCCGCCTTGTGCATGTATGCCCGTGATGGCAACCTGGCGGTTACCACATGGTTGCTATCTGGAGTGGCATGCATGCATGCTTGATCTCGAATTGCCGCGTGTTGCTCACTGCAAGTACACACGGCCTCTCCCTGGTTCTTCTGTACTGCCCTTAGGCCTGCACTCCTCCCCCACCAGCCATCTTCCTGCCGCACATGTGGGAGGAGCACAAAGCGGACATGCTCCTGTCTCTCATATAACCCCATCACTCTTTCTTCTCTCGCCTCCCTCTCTGCCCCCTCTTTTCCACCCTTCATCCCTCCCCGCCTCCCGCCAGACAACTTCCTCCCCGCACAGCACATGCAGGAGGGGCCAGCAGGATGTGGGTGGGCATGATCGCCCCAGTCATTCTTTTATCTCCCCTCCCCAGTCAGGAGGAGCAGGAGTTGGGGTGGAGACAGTCGTCCCACTCTGTCTTCTCCCCCAAACCCACCCCTCCCTCCACCTCCTGCTCTCCACCCCCCTTCCCCCACCCTTCACGCGTGCTCGCCCCGACGCCACCAGACATCTTCCTACCGCACATGCAGGAGGAGCAGGAGGTGGACACGGTGGTGTCCATCATGTACCCCTTCGAAGGGGACAACCCACCTCCCCCGGTAAGTACCTCCCCTTTTTGAGCCGACTCAAGATGCAGGAGGAGGAGGAGCAGGAGGTGGACACGGTGGTGTCCATCATGTATCCCTTTGAAGGCGACAACCCACCTCCCCCGGTAACCACCTCCCCCGGTAACCACCTCCCCCCGGTAACCACCTCCCTCCTCTGTCGTTTGCCCTTGGGAGTGAGCCAATTCTGCTCCTCTCCGGAGATTACTCAAAGGACGTTGTGTGGGCATTTGAGCTCTGCACTGATTACTTGCTTTTCTGTGGGTCTTCTTTCTCCTCTCTCTCACAAATCTACTCCCTGCTTCTCTCTGTCATCTTCTTCTCCCTGCCCCTCCCTGCATTGCCCTGTCTCGCACACTCTCTTACACTCCCTGTCTCGCACACTCTCTTACACTCCCTGTCTCGCACACTCTCTTACACTCCCTGTCTTGCACACCCTCTTACACTCTCTGTCTCGCACACTCTCGACCACCCCCTGGCAGTTGCTGGCGGAGTATGACTGGGAGATGGACGAGTACGAGGTGAGAGGGCTGGTTTCATTGTGGCTTAGGCTGTGTGTGCGTGTGTGTGGTGCGGGTGTGGGGGTGGGTGGGTGTTGGAGGGGGGGAGGGAGTTGTGGTGTGGGGGGGGGAGAGGTGTGTGGGTGTGTGTGTGAGAGAGAGGGATAGTATGTGAGACTGACCTCGGTGCTGAGGGTGGTATTTACTTCGAATGGTTGTGGAGGAAGACCAGCAGCTGCCTTCTCCGTACATTCACCATCCTCCTTCCTCCTCCCTCTTCCCTCCCTCCTCCCTCCTCCCTCCTCCCCCCTCCCTCCACCATCTCGTCCCCTCACCCTCCTCCCGCCACCCCCCTCGTTCCACACTCCTCCATCCGTTCCTGCCGTGCACAGGAGTTCACAGACAACCTGGTCAAGGACGAGTCGCTACCAGAAGCGGAGAAGGCCAAGTTCATTGTCAGTGCGCCCACCACTGTGCATACCATGCCATACCGTACCGTACCGTACCATACCATACCATACCATACCATACCATACCATACCATACCATACCATACCATACCATACCATACCATACCATGCCACACCATACCATATCATGCCATGCATTCATGCATGTCCACATGCACATGAGCCTGTCTGCCATGTCTGCCATCTGCAAGGGAAGCACTCTACATTCGTCCGCTGCTCATCTTAGTGTGTGCAACTTGATTTCTTGCACCACAAGTATGTGAAGAAGCAGCTGAAAGATTCCATGCCTAAACAAACCATCTTCTTTCTCCCATGTCGTTTTCAACTGTTGGTCCTCTCTTCCTTGCCGTTCTCTGTCAACGGTGGGTGTATCGCATCTCTGCAGGAGTATGTGAAGAAAGAGGTGAAAGAGGCCAAGCTTAAGGCAAAGAAGGTGAGAAACACAAGATGTGTTGGGGTAAGTGGAAAACAACATGATAACTGAATTGACTGGGAATAGATGAACATAGATGATGGGATGTACGGTTATTGTATGCCATGCATGTCTGTGTTGTTTTTGGGTGTTCTGAAACGGCTGTCAAAGCAGGCCATAACTGCGATGCTGTGTTTCAGCCGAATGGTATGGCTTGGCCTCCTTAGTTTTCTTCGGCTGGATCTTCCATGTCCCTTTTAATTCTTGTCGGGACGATGGCGTTTCTGGTCGTTCTATTGACTTCCCCGTCCCTTCCCTGTGGTGCAACCCGCATTCAGCTCACTCGACTTCATCTCCTTCGCTTTATTCAACTCATGTTGCGTCAGGAGAGGGAGGAGCGCAAGAAGGCGATAGAGGACATGGGGGAGGAGCGCCTGGAAGCACTCAAGAACCTCAGGTTCCTCAAGTTCTATCCCAAGCAGAGCGACGACACACCCGATATCTCCGAGTTCAAGGTACTACTGCATATGTCTGTCCATGTGGCTTGTCTGCATTACGTGGTCTTTGTCTGCTGATGGTGTCCAGTGCACCATGTTTCTACTAAAAGCTCGCGCCGTTGGTGATGTTCAATAATTTCTTTGAAACGGCTTGTGTCGGAATGTGGACTGTGGTTTCAACTCCCACCCCAAAAGTATCACCAACTGCTTAGCATGCTTGAATTTTCTCAATATCTGCTTCCTTACCATCCTCTTTATTTCTCCCCCACTTCTTTCTCCGTTGTGGGTGCTTCGTTGCTCCCACATTTTTCATCTATGTGCAGGCCCACTACATCAACCGATATTACGGCAAGGCTCATGAAGTTCTATGATTATCATTACACTTGAAATGAGAATATCAGCAGATTCCGTTTGTCACAGCTGCTTGGCAATCCTAATGTTCTGTTACGGTATCCATAAAGACTAGAAAGCAATCAGTTCACAATAGTTATCTAAAAGAAGTGTACCGTACCACTATGACTAACGGTTCCATCAATTTGGCCTACAATTATATTTGCCTCGATGTTGCGCAACGCTTGACTCCGTACCCTACCTATGACACTCACCGGGGCCGGCAATTATTGTAGTAGGGTGGGTAAAACTCTCATTGCCGATTCTAGACACGGCAGGAAAATGGCGAATCGCGACTTCCCGCCGTCAGCTCGCGTAATCTTCAGTGCTTCGCAATTATACAATGCGGGAACGGCGCACCTCCGAGTCGAGAGTTCGCCTCGCTGCAGCTTCGAGCGAGTCGCACCCGTCACTCCTGCTTACCGCCTGCACCGGCAGCCATGACGGGGGGTCTTTCCCAATCCATAGTTACAGGCACTCAGCGTGACTATAAAGTGGGTAGTTCGAGTCCCTAGAAAATCATTCAGCGACAATCCGCCTTTCACTCGTCAAGCAATCCACCCGTTTCCTCCTGCGATTCGAGTTTGTTAACTCTCTTTCGAATCATGGCCTTCACTGCGCCTCGCCGCGTCTTATTCCTAGGTAAGCGTTATTAGTACCCCTGTACTGCCAATGCGCGCCGAGCTCAAAACTTGCTGGCTGCTTGCTGACCCGTGCCATGTGCACTGGCTCTACGCTTCGAATTTCAGTGATTCGATTCGTTATGATGACATATACAGTCACTCTGATTTACGCATTTCCCTGCATGCTAACCTGATCGCGTGTTTCCCTCGCATGTGTTTCCGTGCGTGCAGCATTTGTCGCGGTGCTTGTGACGTTTGCCTACGCAGACCACGACGACCCGGAATTAACCAGTCAGTGCCACTGTATCATTAAGCAGTGCTTCGCGCTTCCCCATTCCGACCATCGCCCTTCTCGTTCCTTCACAATTTCCCCTCACCTTTCGTCCTCGTTTTGAATTCCCAAAATTCAATCTTCAACTCACCCTCCTGCTCGTTCTCACCCCAACAGACACCTTCACGGCGAAGCTGATTGGCGCAAACGAGGTTCCCAAGAATGACTCCGAAGCTGCTAGGAAGGCCGTGGGTGACAAGAGGGGCTTGGTGCAAATGAAGCTCGAGTTCTACAAGTAAGCTCGCCACGCCACGCATTGCATCTGTGATACGACACGTGAGCCCATTTCTCCAAGAGCACGTTTTCTTTCCAATTTCAAAGTCGAGAACACATGGGCTCCAATCCCTGCCGCTCTCTGCCGCTCTCTCCTGCAATATATAGCAGCGGGTTCTAACTCCCTCTTTTCACTCCCTTGACACCCCTGGTGCCACGTGTGATCAGGAAGGAGGGCAACCTCATGTGGGTGGAGTTCTCAGTGAAGGCGTTGAAGCTGGAGGGCGAGATGCCGCCCACTAAGACGCACATCCATCCGGGTTTGAAGGGTGAGAACAACCCCGTGCTGCTGGACCTGCCGTGCAAGTACAAGCAGACCAGCGCCTCCGAGTGGCTCTGTCAGGGAGCCATGTGGGAGGACAAGTGGCTCACGAAAGCGGAGGTGGCGATTTTCACCAAGATCGGAAAGCACCCCAACGCATTCTACGGGAATATCCACACCAAGAAGTGTCAGAATCAAGCAGCAGGAATGAATGAACTATGAAGGAGTTGGGTACAAGTATGAAACCCTAAAAGGGGCTGTACCCCATATTGGCTACCCCACTACAGCCTACACATAGAGAACATGCATATACTTTGACACACCCCCATAGGCAAAGTGGGGGAGAGCAAGGGGTCACAAGACCAATCAAGAGAAGCAAAGCAAGCTCAGGGTGGATCACAAAGTCACCACACACACTGAGCACAAGCAAAGGGCCACAAGGCCAGTTCACATGCAGGGGTATATATGCAACAACAACAGCACAGTGATCTCTACCTAGCAGAGCAAGCATGCAGGTATATATAGATCACAGTACAAGCACAGTCTACAGCAAGTGAGGAAACGTGGGCACAAGGCCTAACAGAGTGCAGAAACGCTGATGATCACCAGACGGAAGCACCTTGGTGAATATATCAGCAGTGTTGGCCCGAGTGGCCACGTGAGCAAGACGAAGCTGACCACGCTGCTGCAACTCTCGAGCCAGGAAGTAACGCAGAGCAATGTGCTTCGTTCTGTGCTCCAGTCTGTGCTCCTGACACAAGGCAATGGCGGCCTTGTTGTCGACGTACAGCACTGGAGGAGAACGAGGCCGCTCTCCCAAGTCGGTCAGCAGGTAGGTGAGCCAGCGTAACTCCTGTGCAGCCATGGCTGTGGCGCAGATCTCAGCCTCACAACTGGAGCTGAGAACTGAAGACGAGCGTGTAGAACGCCAAGAAACCGAACCAGAGCCAAGGCTGAAGGTGTAACCCTGTGACGACCGCTGCGTAGCCTGGTCGTCAACCCAAGAAGCGTCTGAGTGCCCAGTGAGGACAACGTCGCTCCGTCCTCCAAGCACGAGCCCCATGCCCGATGTACTGCACAAGTAGCGTAGTACCCTCTTAGCAGCATCCATGTGCACCTTTCGGTGCCGACCAAGAGCCACGTAGCGAGCCAGAAGGCCAAGAGGGTACGCAAGGTCAGGACGAGTGCAGGTCATCAGGTACATGAGGCAGCCCACTAGCTCTGGGTAAGGACCACTCGGCTCTACGGACTCGTCCGAAGGTGGAGCTGAGAGCGAGTGACCTGTACCCAGAGGAGTGTGCTGTGCCGAGGACCAGGTGAAGCCGAAGCGCTGAAGGACCTGCTGCACCATGTGTGACTGAGTCAGTGTGATGGTGCGGCGTGCTCTGTCCCGGGTGATCCGCAAGCCAAGATAGCTTGTCAACTCACCCAGGTCTGTACACGTGTATCTCTTCTGCAGCTCCGACTTCACCTGGGCGAGAGCCTCAGTGTCAGCAGTGGCAAAGACCAAGTCGTCGACGTACACGAGGATGTAGAACGGCGGCAGCGAAGTGTCGGTGCGCAGAAACATCGACGGGTCAGCAGTCGACGGAGCAAACCCAAGAGCCGCAAGTGTCGTCCTCAGTGTGTCGTGCCATTCACGTGGCGCCTGGCGGAGACCGTAGACCGGCCGCCTGAGGCTCCACTGGGTACCAGGAGGGAACGACCCAGTGAAGCCAGGTGGGCGGCGCAGCCAGATCTCCTCGTGCAGGCTGCCCTGTAAGAAGGTTGTGCTGAAGTCAAGAGAGTGAAGCTCGTAGTCACGCTGAGCGGCAACGTGCAGCAGCACCCGAAGAGTGGTCATCATCGGGGTGGGGGAGAAGGTCTGGAAGAAGTCTACTCCCTCTCGCTGACTGAAACCTCGTGCAACGTAACGCGCCTTGAAGGCAGGCGGAGAACCTGGCGGCCGCTTCACCCTGAAAATCCACTGACGATGTTCGCCCCAGGTGGGGGAACCTCGTCGACGTAGGTGCCTGTGGACTTCCAGGATGCCATCTCTGCATCCATGGCTGTCTGCCACTGAGAGCAGTACTCACCCGCGATCGCCTCAGCGTAAGAGCGCGGGGTCGGGATGTCTGGAGCATCCGGGTCTCCCTCAGGGGCAAGCAGCATGGACACGAGATGAGGCGCATCGGCTGCAAGACACTCAAGGTCCTCCTGCCTGTCCTCAAGGACGTCCGTGCCAAGAGCACACTCACCCCCGACGGACGGAGGACAGACAGACTCAGACTCAGCAACAAGACTAGCGGCGTAGTCTAGACGACAGGCAGCAGCAAAGTCAACAAGCTCAGCAACTAAGGCAGACGTAGCAGCAGACTCAAACGACGGGTCAGTGACAACAGTGGCTAGCAGACGCGTGACAGTAGGGTGCTCAGCACGAAACCGGTCAGACTCGGGGTCCGCAACGACAGGCAGAGAAGACGCAGGAGGGGACGGCAGAGGAACACGCTGCGGAGGAGAGGAAGGACGACGGACAACGAGGTGGGTGTCGGGGACAGCCGGCTGACGCGGACGAGGAACACGACGACCGGAACGACCAGAACAGACAGGCGAGACAGGACGCGACGCAGGCTCACGGCGCTCAGTAAGACTCCCTAGCTGCTCAGTGTAAGGAGAAGGAGCAGGCAGCGGTGAACCAGGCTGTAACGGAAGACCAGTAGACGAAGGGAGACTAAGAACCTGGCGAAGCACAGAGTCAGGCGGTGGCTGAGACGACGGAGACGGTGGAGCGAAGAACAGGCGCGGCTGTGCAGTGACACCAGCACCAGCAGCTCCAGTACCCCCAGCAGCTCCAGCACCTCCAGCAGCTCCAGAACCTCCAGCGCCAGCACCCTCAGCAGCTCCAAAACCTCCAGCTCCAGCGCCACCAGCGCCAGTACCTCCAGCAGCTCCAGAACCTCCAGCACCAGCACCCGCAGCAGCTCCAGAACCTCCAGCTCCAGCGCCACCAGCGCCAGTACCTCCAGCAGCTCCAGAACCTCCAGCACCAGCACCCTCAGCAGCTCCAGAACCTCCAGCTCCAGCGCCACCAGCGCCAGCACCTCCAGCAGCTCAAGAACCCTCAGCGCCAGCTCCTCCAGGACAAGCTCCACCAACAGCAGCACCCCCAGAACCGGCACCTCCAGTCCCAGGGTCTCCAGCCTCAGTGCCTCCAGCAGCAGCACCCTCAGGCTCAGCACCTCCAGCCCCAGCAGCTCCAGTACCTCCAGTACGAGCACCTCCGGGACCAGCACCACTCCCAGCTCCAGTGACGTCAGCAGAAGTACCTCCAGCGGCAGAGCCCCGAGCTCCAGAAGCGCGACCCTGACGGCGACCGTACCAGTCGTGTAGCTGCTGCGAGGTGAGAGGCACACGCGGACGAAGGCGGCTACTCCAAGGAAACCGCGCAACAGCAGACTCAGAACCCTCAGCGCCAGTACCCGCAGCAGCTCCAGAACCTCCAGCGCCAGCACCCTCAGCAGCTCCAGAACCTCCAGCTCCAGCGCCACCAGCGCCAGTACCTCCAGCAGCTCCAGAACTTCTAGCGCCAGCACCCTCAGCAGCTCCAGAACCTCCAGCTCCAGCGCCCTCAGCAGCTCCAGCACCTCCAGCAGAAACAACTCCAGTGGCAGAGTCACCAGCTCCAGCGCCTCCCGCAGCAGGGCCCCTAGCTCCAGCAGCGCGACCCTGACGGCCAGCATACCACTCAAGCAGCTGCTGTGGGGAGAGAGGGAGTCGACGACGAGAGTGCAGCGGCGAGGCACCAGCGGAGCGACTACGGAGACGGTCGCCCCAGGGAGACTGCTCACCTGACGCCTCAACGCCCCCAGGCTCAGCACCCCCAGACTCCTCACACCCAGGCTCAGCACCTCCAGTCTCCGCACCCCCAGGCTCCGCACCCCCAGGCTCCGCACCCCCAGGCTCAGCACCCCCAGGCTCCGCACCCCCAGGCTCAGCACCCCCAGAAGCAGCAACCCGAGCAGGACCACCCTCAGCAGGACCTGAGTCACCAGTGACCTCAACCGGCTCAGTCAAGGGAGGAGGGTATACCTGAGACACACCTGAAGGAGCAGGACTGGGAGCGGGGAGGGGGTCTACCTGGGGAGCACCTGGAGGGAGAAAGAGCGGCGGGGGGGGGGAGAGGGGCAGTGCGGTAGGGGAAGAGACGGTAAAAGGGATCCGACTCGTCGAACGTGACGTCCTGAGAGGGGAAGACACGACGCGAGGTGGGGTGGTAAAACTGCCAACCAGGCGCGTCAGGGACAAAGCCAAGGAAGACACAGGGGACAGCGCGGGCGGAGAGCTTGTCCGCGGTGGTATCGCGGACAAAGGCACGAGCACCCCAGACCCGGAAACGCGACGCATCGCCAACCTTCCCCGTCCACAGCAGTGTGGGCGAGGTCTCCGGCAAGGAGACACGGGGCCAAAGGTTGAGCTGATGCGCGGCGTACCGGACCGCAAACGGCCACAGAAAATGGGGGGCAGCCGCATGGATCATGGAGGTACGAGCGACCTCCATGACTAAGCCAATGCGGCGCTCAGCAACCCCATTCTGCTGCAGAGAGGCCGGAAGCGTGAACGACTGGCGGATGCCGTGCTCCGCACAGTAGGCTGCCAAGAGGTCTGAGGAGAACTCACCACCTCTGTCAGAGTGCAGACGCAGGACAGGAAAGTCCGACTGGAACCGCTCGCGGAGCTGGAGACGAGTAGCGCGGATCCAGGGGATCAAAACATCAGGGACCTCCCCCTTGCTGCGCAAGGGGAAGACCGTGGTGTAACGCGTGTAGTCGTCGACGACCAGCAGGAAGAACCGCTCGTGGCCCTGTCCACGGACGCGGACTGGGCCCCACACGTCCAGGTGGAGAGTCTGCAGGGGAGCCTCTGTGGGAGGGAACGAGGAGGAGTGAGGAGCGGCGCGCTGCCGCCCCTCGACACAGGGAAGACAGGGAGGAGCAGGCGAGGG